GGGCCCGGCCGCTGACACAGGCAGCAGCCGCGCATAAGCGTGTCGCCAGCCTCCTCCCGCACACGCGGAAGGTCGCACCCCTGTAGCAGGTGCCCCGTTGTGCTGCCTCTCGCCTGAACCCTGAGTGGATACGCTCACCTCAGAGGGTGTGCAGCTCTGGCTGCTGGCTCCTCCTTTTCCTTCCCAGCATCCTGGTTCGGTTCCACACTCCACCACGTAGCGAGATTAGGGAGAGCTGGCCGAGTCTGGCCCCAACGGTGACTTGGTGAACCTGAGCCGACCCTGGCAAGGGTAACGGCCACCCTCCTGGCCAGTGAGATGGGGCGAAGTCACTGAAGGGGAGAATAGCCCTTCCAGTAAAGAGTTAAGTGTAGGAGAAAGTGGCTCTTTCTGTTGTTTTTCTACTGAATGTTGCCCCACGGTGTTGTGTCACAAGGGTCACTGGCCTTAGAGGAACGTGCAGCAGGGTGGAAGGAGGGACCTTGGGTCCTTGGAGACTCACTGGGCTGCTCAAGGAACCAGCCCTGGAGTAGCTAACCCCTCCCTTTTGCCTGGGACTTCTCGCCTTTAGTACTGTCCACTGAAAAAAATGCATAACTTAAAAATTGGTAATTATTCTATTCTGTGGATTTTCTGAGGACTTGAAGCGCAGGAAAACAGCCTCTCAAATAGCTCTCAGGGACTGCTCCAAAGAGGTAAGGGAGGAGCCAGGATATATAGTTATTATAACGCAGACTAGGTAGTTGGAACATCAAAAGATTACTGTTTAATTACTTTAATTAAGAAAACCAGATATCTCAAGTTAAAGAATTCAGCCCTTTTCTGTGTGTGGGCAGGTGCAACAGTTTGGGCTCACTGAAATCATGCCTTTGCTACACCCTGTATCCAGGGGCAGTGTCCTGTCTTTCCCATCCTGTGTCCCCTCAGGGTGCATCGTTAGGGGTCACTGCAATGGCTGAGGGCTTGGCAGCAGGCAGCCCATTTTTCTCCATCCGGAGTTCCCCAGGGCTCGCCGTTGAGGGCAGCCATAGTGGCTTGATACTGTTTACTGACATGTCAGGCAGCATCGTTCACTCACAGTACTAAAAGTCCTGTGTCCTGGGAAAACCCTCGGTTCTGAGTGTGCCAGTGGTCCCTTCTAGCCCTGCCTCAGGACTTCTTTAATGGGAGATGATTCCCCTTACTGTTTAAGCCCTTTGAGTTGTGGCTGTTTTTGATACTCATAGCTGAAAGCATTCTGAATGATACAGGGCAGTAAAAGAATATGCCTTTTGTTTCTGACAGCAGTTATAAAAGAGGTATTCTTTTTTTAATATCTATTTTTATTGAAATACAGTCGTTTACAATGTGTCAGTTTCTGGTGTACAGCACAATGCTTCAGTCAGACATGAACATATATATATTCTTCTTCATATTCTTTTTCACCGTAAGTTACCACAAGATACTGAATATAGCTCCCTGTGCTGTTCAGTATGAATTTGTTGTTTATGTATTTTATATATAGTAGTAAGTACCCGCAAATCTTGAACTCTCAAGTTATCCCTTCCTACCCACTTCCCCTCCTGGTAACCGTAAGTTTGTTTTCTATGTAAGTCTGTTTCTGTTTCATAAATAAGTTCGTCTTTTTTTTTTTCTTTTAGATTCCACATATGAGTGATATCATGTGGTTTTTTTCTTCCTCTTTCTGGCTTACGTCACTTAGAATGATGTTCTCCAGGGCCATCCATGTTGCTGCAAATGACATTATTTTATTCTTTTTTTATGGCCGAGTAGTATTCCATTGTATAAACCACAACTTCTTTATCCAGTCATCTGTTGATGGACATTAGGCTGTTTCCATATCTTTGCTATTGCAAATAGTGCTGCCGTGAACATTGGGATGCATGTGTCTTTTTGAATTAGAGTTCCTTCTGGATATATGCCCAGAAGTGGGATTGGTGGGTCATATGGTAAGTCTATTTTTAGTCTTTTGAGGAATCTCCATACTGTTTTCCACAGTGGCTGCACCAAACTGCATTCCCACCAGCAGTGTAGGAGGGTTCCCTTTTCTCCACACCCTTTCTAGCATTTATCATTTGTGGACTTTTGAATGATGGTCATTCTGACTGCTGTGAGGT